GCTCAACTGCAAGTTTGCGTTTTGTCGGAAAATCAGCCTACTGGCGATTTAGGTTAAAATTTGGCCCTTTTCTAGTCACTAATCCTTGATAGAATTGGACAAAACTTCACGTGTTTAGTTGCTCTAGATTGAACGTGAGAAATTTTTGAAAATGACTCAGCTTGAACTTTTTTGTCAGGCTCAACAAAAAGTTTGTTTGTGTTGCCGGCAAATCAGCCTGCAGGCGGTTTAGATTAAAATTCGTCCCTTTTCTTGCCACTGATCCTTGAATTGGACAAAATTTCACGTGTCTAGTTGCTCTAGATTGGACGTGAGAAATTTTTGAAAATGACTCAGCTTGAACTTTTTTGTCAGGCTCAACAGAAAGCTTGTTTTTTTGCCACAAAATCAGCTTGCAGGCGGTTAGATTAAAATTTGGCCCTTTTCTAGCCACTGATCCTTTATAGAATTGGACAAAATTTCACGCGTTTAGTTGCTCTAGATTGGACGTGAGAAATTTTTCAAAATGGCTCACTTTGAACTTTTTTGTCAGGCTCAACTGCAAGTTTGCGTTTTGTCGGAAAATCAGCCTACTGGCGATTTAGGTTAAAATTTGGCCCTTTTCTAGTCACTAATCCTTGATAGAATTGGACAAAACTTCACGTGTTTAGTTGCTCTAGATTGAACGTGAGAAATTTTTGAAAATGACTCAGCTTGAACTTTTTTGTCAGGCTCAACAGAAAGTTTGTTTTTTTGCCGCAAAATCAGCTTGCAGGCGGTTAGATTAAAATTTGGCCCTTTTTTAGCCACTGATCCTTAATGGAATTGTACAAAATTTCACGTGTCTAGTTGCTCTAGATTGGACTTGAGAAATTTTTGAAAATGGCTTAGCTTGAACTTTTTCGTCAGGCTCAACAGAAAGTTTGTTTTTTTGCCGCAAAATCAGCTTGCAGGCGGTTTAGATTAAAATTTTGCCCTTTTCTAGCCACTGATCCTTGATAGAATTGGACAAGATTTCACGTGTCTAGTTGCTCTAGATTGGACGTGAGAAATTTTTGAAAATGGCTCAGCTTGAACTTTTTTGTCAGGTTCAACTGAAAGTTTGCGCTTTGCCGGAAAATCAGCCTGCAGGCGGTTTAGATTAAAATTTGGCCCTTTTCTAGCCACTGATCCTTGATAGAATTGGACAAAATTTCACGTGTC